AAGTTAAGTGATGTTATGGAGTGCATATCATAATTTAATGTAAATGATAGTCACGGATTCAATAAGGTAAATATTGAATGAAAAGTCATGTCTGAAAAGTGCACGATTTTTTAAAAACAATTTCTAACAGCAAACTTATGCGTAATGTAATCAAAATACAATTGGACAGAAAATGCAATGCAGTTAAACGAAATTTGATTCGACAGAAGTACGTAAAAGCAGTTTAGATATTTCATAATAAAATTCTCTGTTTAAAAATAAACATTTTGATTAGAAGAATATTCGTAAAACACCTGGAGTTGATTATAAATTTTTATTCCACATAACTCGAAACTATTTTCTTATTTATAACTCGATTTTCATTAACTTACAAATTCTTCTTTTTGATATATCAAGAAAAATTTTAATGATAAAAAATTATGAAAAGTATAGAATGTAGAGAGCGCCATTATAAAATCACTGGATCATAAAATCAAGTTGCTTTTTAAAATCAAATCTGCAAAAACTGAATCATTACTAAAGCAACCAATACTTAACAAAGATCATCATTAAATAAAATCATGATTGTCGATTTGTAAAACCAAACTTTTGTAAAGTACCTCTGTTTCAGAAATAAACAACAGTACTTTTTCTTGCCTGAATAATTAAAATTTTATATTTTTCTCAAGTTAAGTAATGTTATGGAATGCCTATCATCATTTAATATAAATGATCATCACTCATTCAATAAGAAATATATATATATAGGGGAGTGTCGGGTAGCCCCGCCCACTTAAGGAGTATTGCTTATATTTCTGTATAATATTGAGTAATAATCAATATTTTTATATGTTTCTATTGTTTTATCATCTAATTAAATAATGCAAAAAGAATAAACCAATAAAAGAATAGTTTAACTTAAAAAATAGAAATTTAAACTATTGTTTACCATGTTACCAGCTGCATAAATACTTGAAACTTTGAAAATAATCTTTTTTTAATATAACAATGGCCCATTGACTTGAAAAAATATTCTATACATATGAAATTGACAGTTTATCTATCTATA